ACTTTGAAAGACCAGCTTAGTAATTCACCACCATGAACCAAGCCTATCAGGAGTAAGACAGACCAACACAGTGGATTTGGGCTTTACATCAGCAGATCCTCAAAGATCCTTGGTTTCCTTTAGCAATAACAGTTATTGTGATGCAGTCACTCTGCTGAATCTTTCTTTTACACCATTTTCAAGTCTGGTGGTCTCAAACCATCTAATGGATATAATCTGACAGACCTTGCTAAGGCAGTATCTTGTCTCAGTCTACAACTTCCTTGCCAGGGGAAGAGGAAGGGCAGGCACTGATCTCTTCTCTGTGGGACCAGTGACAGGACCAGGGGGATTGGTCTGAAGTTGTGTCAGGGGAGGTTTAGGTTGGGTTGTTCCCCCAGAGGGTGGTTGGCACTGAACAGGCTCCCCAGGGCAGTGGGCACGGCCCCAAGGCTGCCAGAGCTCCAGGAGTGTTTGGACGATGCTCTGGGGCACAGGGTGTGGCTCCTGGGATGAGTCTGTGCAGGGCCAGGAGTTGGACTCACTGATCCTTGTGGGTCCCTTCCAACTCAGCACATTCTGTATTTCAGCGTAGAGAGCAAAAGATCTACAGAAGCTAATCTATCTTCAAGATAAATAATTCAGAAACCTGCTACCCAGTTCTGAAAAGTCACTTCAATGTCTTGGAGGCGAATATCACAGCACTTCAGTTCCTAGTCAAGCAAATCACCTCTAAAAACTAAGTATAACTTTTAAATCACTTGGTTATTGTTTTTAACAATGGTCTTCAGGTTTTATCAACTGCAAAAGCTATCTCCCTGCACATAGGGTGTTACTCTGATTTGGATAATGCTTTCTTTTTGTGCACATAAGATGACAGAGAAGTGCAGCACAGCACAGTGCATGTCTTCTTAATGCTGCTTTTCACCTGCACACAATCTTGTAGAAAGTACTTCACTACTGTGCCTCTGCTTCTGTCTACCCTTTGACTCTTTAGGTCACCAGTTATTCCCTACCAAGCTTTTACACACAGAGATCTACTTCAGTTAAGTTTGTAAGTATTTCTGTAATAAAAAATATCAAGTAGCAACTGTTGAGAAGAGCAAATCTACAGCACGGAACAGGTAACCTAAGAATTTGACTCCTGGTCTGTATCTAGATACTAAAAACTGGTCACATATTTATTAAAAGGAGAGGAATGAACCTGAAAAATATTTACCAGCAGCCTTTCTCCTCTTCTGTACAATTTGTTAAAATCACTTCAAAATGTCAAAGGCTCAGACAGTGAAGTGCAAAATAATTACATGAATGCAGTCAGGCACTGTATCTTCTTATTTTAATATTAATGGACAGAAATGGAAAACTGCCACTGAATTTTAATTAATTCATTAGTTAATTATTGTAAAGCCCCATGAAAGTGCTAAGAATTATTATTACTTTTATTCCCAATAAATATTTCATAATGGCAGAGATGAACCTCCCACGATGACTTTGCTCTAGGTTCAAAATACAAAATTGGTGCAAAATGGTATTTATTAATTCTTTGTGTAATTCAGGTATGGACTCACCCCCATGAGATACAGACACATCACCATAAAAGCAGCAGCTTTTCCCTTTGCTAACAGATCCACCTGAGTGAACAGGTTAGCTGTACTATAGGGTACTGCTCCAAAGGAGCAAGGAGGGGGAGTTAGCCAAAATGTGGACTGCATTTGCTGCATACTGAGCCACATTAAACCCTAACATAAATTAACAGAACTCTCCCAGAAGAATCATTGAAGCAAAAGTGTCCTTCTGCCAGGCTGCATTTGACCCACTGCCCCCTAGTTCTGTTGAATTTAATAAGATAAACATGTCTTTTCATTTCCTGGCTGCAGATAAAGCTCACAAAATATTCTGGAATCAGTCACCAATTTCAAGACTTAATCATTCAGCCAGCCAGACAAGTGGAAAAGAGAAGCTTTTCTCATTAAGTAATGTCTAAGGGAAAGTTTAAATCTGTATTCCAATGTAACATCCTGATATTTGCTGCTGCAGGCCCAAAGCATGCAACAATGCATTGTGCATTTTAAAAGCTGTCTCAGGGAAAGAGATGTGCACGTTGACAGAAAACAGCTCCTTTTCTTGATAGATGTTTACACAGGAACCTTTGGCAGAGAACTGACATTCAGAAGTGTTTGCCACAGGATCTCTTTGTTTCTTTTCCATTCTTACCGTGCCCTGCTCCAAGCTGCAGTGCCAGCATCCACTGTTTTAAGTCAGGAATGATTTAGATGTTGCTTGCAGTGGTTTTTCTAAAGATCAGTTCATCAGCTGAACTGGTTTATTTACATAAACTGTCCTTCTTGCCTGATGTCCCAATGCAATAGGACAATACACTGAGATTGGGATCTGGTGCTGAGGGATTGTGTAGGGGCACACAACAGGAACACCTGGTGCTATTCATGACACTGGCAGATTTTAAACTGAGAGACAGGTTAATGGAGAAGAAACATGCCTGTAACACCTACTGCCTCAGTGGTTTCCACTGGAGAGGGAAATTTCCCCCTTGCTCTGCCAGGATATTTGATTGATCCACATCAAGTGACAGCAAGCCTGTCTATGTTGTCACATGTGCATGTTGGGCAAAATCCTGTTACAGCCAAAGACAACTTCCCTTGAGCTCAGCCTCTCTATCCTTTCAAGTACAGTGCCTAAAAAAGTTGGTCAAACTTTTTAAAGTGTCAAAAATATAAAACTGACAACCAAGGCTGAAAATGAGGAATAATTACAGGAAAGATGCACCTTTTCCATAACCTCTCCTATTTTTCACTTGCAACTTGTGCAAGAGAAACCTGCCCCACCACCACAATGCTCCCTCATGGGACTGGCACAACCCAAAGGTGTCAGCAGCAGCACAAGTCTGTAGACATCCCAGTCACAAATGCCACTATCCCAGAGAACATCAGACACAGGGAGGTCACAACGAACAGAGAAGAGGGCAGAGAGATGTGAAACCAGCAGCAGAAAAGAAAATGAGAGGGAAGCGCAAGTGGAGTAGAAGAGTAGAATTTCTTCCTTCAAGATTAAACAAAAGAGAAAAGAGAAGGGAAAAAGCACATGGAGAAGGCCTGGCTTATGAATTAAGAAAAAAAAACTAAACTCCTTTCCAAAATAATAGCTTTCTAATTCCAAGGCTGTGAACTTAAAATATAAAAGCCAGCCTCAAAAGGCTTTATTCTTCCTGGAGTCCTTTTCTACTCCTTCAAAAAACCAACCAACAAACACCAACAAAACACACACAAAAACAAACACAAAAAACACCAAGAAACACAAAAACTAAAACAAACACACAAAACCAAAAACCCAAGGGCTCAGGAAGTTAAACTGTATGTTCGCAGGGCAAACCAGTACTAGCACAGACCTCAAAAACAAACAAAAAAATAAACAAGGCTACAAATGGAACTCCAGAGCTTTCCACATCTTCCTTTGTTCACTGTAGTCATGTTCAAGGAAGACTCCCCATTTCAGAGAAACTGCATTCATAACCTTCAAAATATTCTCCTTAGCAGGTTACTTTTGAAACTTGAGAAACTGAGCAGACAAGGTTCTCAAGTGCAATCTCCTGCTGTTTCTGAAGCAGGTAGATCTGATCAGATCATTGGGGGGGGAGAAAAGAAAAGAAAAAAAAGTTAAAAAATACTTTCTTACTGCTGGCACGCTTCAAAGTGGATAACTCGAGACTTTTACTGGGGGACAGAAATGAACACCAGCCTCCAGTGATGGCCATTTCCATTTAAATTTGTATAATAACATGTCAGATTTAACTACATTAATTTAGTACAGTCACTAAATATAAAAATCATTACAACAGGCAAACATGAGTAATCACAAATCAAATAATCTACAGAGAATAAAACATTAACCTTGGTGTGGGACTCATATGATCACTGGTATTAGTGCCAGCAATGACAAATGGGAAGGAAACAGCAACCAATTAATAAGGTACATGCCCTTCCCCTGATTTATCTCCACATGAATTCAGGTCTTCATTTTAGAAAAACAAAACAAGGAAATTACCTATTTGTTTTAAGGTCAAGACTTTAAAGCAATAACATGTAAAACTCATGTGAATAGTTACAAAGGAAATAATTTTTGTAATAAATAATCAAATTTAATTTAGTTTTGTTACAATCATTATTCAAGATTTATACTAGCTTTTGGAAGCCTCAAATACTATTAATTCAAGAAAAAATTGTGTACTATTAATAACAACTACAATACTGCAATTAATAATATAATAAAATAATAAAATACTACAGTACATATACACCATAAATAACACAACTAGAAGCAGGTTTATGCCTATTTCCCATCATGACAAAAGGCAACAGAAAGTAAAGTAACAAAACCACTGTCACAGGCAAGAACCTAAACCTAGGGAAGGAAGAAGGAATTAAGTGTGAAACACGTGCTACGTGTTTTCTGAAATCCTTTCTACAGGATGTTTGTTCCTAAGGAGCACTGCATACAAGAAAGATAATTTCTTTCTCAGGAGTACACTTGATCTTCCCTCAGTTGTTATTTATCCCAAACATCTTTCTGGGAATTGACTGTCTAGAGAAACCAAACCATGCTGACTGCCCCAAAGCACAAAAGGAGCAGTCCCTTCTCTTCCATTCTTAATTTGCTTATTATATCCATTTTATGGGGGTGGAGGGGGGAATCAAAACACCGATTCCCTTTCATAGCCTCTTTCTCGGTCACCCTGTGCACTTCAGGTAATTGCAGGGCATATTCTACACGTGCTTTGCCTTCAGCTGTAGCGTGCACCTTGTTTTAGTCCCGCCTTCTGAAAAAAACCTTGGCATCTTCGTGGTTTGTTTGTAAGCAAACCATTTCCTCCAGTGAAAGTGCAAGGAAGCTAAACCAGCACACAAGACTGAAGCTCTGGTGTTAGGCACTGCTGCAGTCCATTATAAGAATAAATGAAAATACTCCACGTAGGAGCCTCTGTTGGGTGGAGCCAGCCCTGAGCTTACCTGTCCTGTAGCCCGTGTTGTTGAGGTACACGGCGAACGTGCGGATTTCGTGCTGAGCCTGCCAGGAGGGCGACGAGCAGTTCTCGTTGTTGGTGTAGGTGTTGTGGTTGTGGACGTACTTGCCCGTCAGAACGGAGGAGCGCGACGGGCAGCACATGGGCGTCGTCACGAAGGCGTTGATGAAATGGGCGCCCCCCTGCTCCATGATCCGTCTGGTTTTGTTCATCACTTGCATAGAACCTGGAAGAAGAGAAACGGTCGGGAATTATTTCCTTGTTTCGGTCACAAGAGCCCCATGAGAGCTCACATCACGGCACGGCACTGCACGGCAGAGGCCAGAATGAAGAGCAAACACAGTAAGGGCACTGTAATCTCGGAGCGAATCCAAATCCAAAGAGATTATTCTCCTGCCTCAGGGAAGTTCTCCCATTGTTCCAGTAAGGATTAAACACTGAAGTCCCAAGTTAAGATATGACTCAAGCCTGTTGACATGGACCATAATGCTTCTTTCATTTCTCTCTAAGTTCCAGATTTACTGCTGTAACTTCCTGCACCTTCTCTGCAGCCCTTCTGGAGCCACCAGTACTCTTCCAGTAGCTGAGGGTGAAATGCACTTTGTGCAGCAATCCTGACCACAGCTTGCATGCTCCTCATTTAATCCTTGGTTTTGAAATAAACCTGATGCACTGCCTTTTGTGACAACCTTCTGCGAAAGCCTGAGGGCTGTAACCACAATCATTGAGGCTGGAAGACTGTTTAGTCCAACCTACTGCTTGAGCAGGGGCTGCTGGAGTTGTTCTCTAAATAAATTGTTCTCTCCCTATCGTGAGGTATTAGGAGATATTGATTTCTGTTCTTGTCACTGAATCAAAGACAACATAAAGCCCTCAGAACAATTTCCACAACCAGCCCACTGTGTTCTATCCATCTGCTTCACCCTTTCTGATAACAGTTATTATCTAAACCTATCTACGTTTTCTTAGGCTTGGTTCTGTAGAATCAGATCTTCAGATGATTGCTTGGGACAGACAGCCACGTATTTCACAACCATCATCTAAAAGCAAACAAGCAAGTTTAACTGGCAGGGACTTGGATAAATTGGGATAAGAGGAGTAAAAGTCTTTTTGCCAACAATTACTGAAAGACACGCTGCTGCCAAGTGGTTGTTCTGTTTATTTAAGATAGGCTTTGGTCAAAGACTGGATCTTTACACCACCTAGCTGAATCTGGATCCATATCAGAGCTCTTCCTAAATCCAGAAAAACCAAAGATCAGAGAAAAAGGAATTTAATTTCTTATCTCTATCAGTGCCTGATAGTTAAAACTGCATCAGAACAAGTCAGGAAAAATTTTCCTGATCTAGAAAGAATTTCCATTTGCCAAAGAACTTGTAACGGTACCTGCCATCAGCACAACCTTGCAAAGGAGAGGAAACCTGTCCATCACCAACCCTTCCTTCCAGGGAAAGCCAACAGACAACATGGAGATGAAGGTGTGGTTTCATGCTAGAGTAGGGTTGGGGGGAACTGCCCCAAGGTTGAGTTGGATTAACAGTTCAGCTTTAATCAATGCATCCTGCAACCATCTGGCACAAACTATGTTGTTTCTGTCAATACTGGGTTTAGGTTTCTTCTAAGCTCTTTAGGCAGGGATTTCATTATGAAATGGCAACAGTAAGTCGATTGATACAGGGCACACTGATATAACCAGGAGTCAAAACCTAGAGGGAAAATGGTCATAAAGCCACATAGGAAATCTGACTCTCTGGCACCATGAAGGAAAGCTAATTGCTACTGAGGGTCATTTTACCTAAAAACTGCCATGGTATTAGTTTACTTGAGACCATTCTGCTGGAATGAGTTTTAAAAAAAAAAAAAAAGAAAAAAAAAAGAAGACAGCCAGATTTATTTATTTTTTTGTTTCCCTAGCTGTGGGATTGTTAGTGCCTAAAGGTACTAACAACACAGTTAACAATTACAACAGCCAATTATACACTCTGTGAGCCTGAAAACTGTGGATGTTTCCTCTGTGTTGTCTTCTGATATACAGCCCAAGCATAAACAGGCAGTCCGAAAGAAGGTTTTGTCTTGCCAATACTGAAATACAATTTAACAACCCCTTTAAAAGACAGAGGCATCTGTGCATAAATAACAGTACATGTTAAGACTGCCCTTGGGGACAGTAACCTCCTTTAATAAAACTGCTGTAATGACAAAGCCCTATATATCAACAGTCTTTAGCACAAAAACATATGATCTAATCTGCTTCCCCTGCTTGAGAACTAATACAGAGTGACAGATCAGTGGAAGGTAAAAATCCAGCATACTCTTCTGTATAATCTTAAATAGGCCAGCTTTAAATATTTTAAACAGCATTAAACCAGCCAACCAAAACTTATTTTCTTCAGCTTGCCTCCGATAAAAACATAAAATTGTGAGAAAAAGTAAAAACTGTTCTTTCTGTGGTAGATTAGTTATGTGTTAATCAGCAACAGGAACCTCATCACATCACCTTTTGAGCTGGAAAGACTTCTCAGCTTTCATTAGTGGATGTACCATGGGAAGTAGCGGTTTGAAGTGTCAATATTTAATTCAGAAAATGTTCTGTTACCCATCTAAACCCACTGATAGTAAACAAAAATTTGGCAGTTAAAAGTGAAACTTCTAAGCTACTTAAAAAAACCCCAAAACATCAGACTACTGTGAAAATATGAAAGTTTAATCATTTTGATGCATTAAAGTTGCTCACCCAAACAAAGCTAAACAAAACCTATGTTAAAATTCCGCTTGAAATCCGTGTGCTATCCATAACTTTGCTTAGTGTATCTCCACAGTTCACTTCAGGGATAAAGCTGATATTTTGACTAATATTAACCAATTATACATAATTGAGAAAATATATCAATTCTTTATGAAATAATACTGGAGTCCTTATTAGTTCTGTTTTGTTGTCAGAGGAAATAATTTACATGTTTTAGGGAGCTCCAACTGTTGAGGAACTTGCATTAAGTACCAAGGGACTTGTCTACTCTGAAGCACAACTTATGAAGTGGTATCAACACACAGATAAGCTAACTGAACCCCAGAATGCTAATTAACTGTCCCCTAAAGCCTTCTCTTATTATCCTCTTTGAACCTCATTAGACACAGTTTTCACATCACTTCCTTTTTTCCTCATATTTAACAAAGCTTCAAAGTCCCAACTGCCACACAGGATAACCAAAAAAAAAAACTATTTTCCAAGCCACTTTTATAGTTTACAGAGGAAGACCCAGGAACACACAAATCACCTCTCACTCAGATTTCTCTACTGTGGCTGAAATACCTTCTAAATAACCAGATCTTTCTTCAACTACAAAATCATGAAACGAGATTTTTTTTTAAAAACCACAGCAATATGGCAGACAAATCTAATTAAACTGGAGTTGCTGAGTCCATCACACGGGGGAAATCAGCATCATACTAACCTGGATTTGAAGGGCTCTAATAGCGATAAAGGAAGTCTTTATTTCCAATTAATTCTTCCTCCTTGGCAGTATATTCCTCTTCTTTATATTATATATTATGCTTGTCAATACAACTCTTTTGATTAGACAGTCCACCAAGTGTGTATGTTTTAGTAGTTCTTGGTGTTCTCATTTGTCTTCTCCCAATTGTATCCATTACAATTTACACTCATTCTTTAATCTACAGATTCTGCATCCTTATTCATCAGCTCCTCATCAGTCTTTTCCTTTTTCCAATAAAATGCTGAGGTTTGGTTTCCAAGTAAAACTCATGATGAACAGTAATGGGAATGTAAAGAGTTGTACTCCTTTCCTGAAAGGACAATATTCTCTTTCTGTTAAACTGCACCTGCTACTGGTAACCTGTTAAATCTATCTTTAAATAAATAAAGGACAGCCTGTTAAAGGCACTTGAGATCATGCTGCAGTCCCTTTCACCTCAAAAGTAGCTACAAAAGAACAATGGAAGCTACAACACCCATCAGTTACAGAATATCCTTATAAACAGATGAAATCTTAGTTATTCACAGTTTTCTTTGCTACACTTTCATAGCTTCCAACTTTTCCTTAGCTTTTACTTGTAATTCATATCTTGTCTTCATCTTTCATAAATGCACTAACCACAATCACCACAAATGGCAATTCTGATTAACTTGGACAGCTCATCAGACAACAGACAAGAATAAAAATTAATCCAAACAAATACTGGGTCTCCCAAAGCCATTAGTGCCAAACGAGGAATTTCACATCTAAGCTTCATCAAATGGATTTTCCTTCGTGAGATCCTAATCTGTGTGGACACGTGCCCATTATCCTTGAAATTGGAAAGCATCCGATTATTGGAGAAGAGAAATAAAACTGCCCAATGGGCTTAGCCAACTGCACCAGAAACACACCTAAAATAGAAGATGATAAATTTTTTAGGACCACCTTCTGAGCCTGCAAGATAATGTACTTGGGTTCTTTGATACGTTATTGGAGTTGCTTCATCTGTGATCCAAATAACCATGAAAAAAGAGTGACAACAACAAAAGCCTCTTCTGATCCTACTGATTGGAACTGCATTGATATTTGGTGAGGTTTTCTCACCAACCTGGAGAAGAATGTGACACCTATGACACCACAGACATGCAGTAATATTGGTGCAAAGGAAGCATCTGTAAAAATACTGCCATGTTGCTGTGATCAACTTCTCAGCAAGACAAGTAAGTGTATGAGTAACACAAGGTGATTAATTTTATGTTCTCTTTCCCCTGTGAGCTCTGTTTTCCAGTTTTTCCTACCCATACCAGAAATCTGATGCAGAAAAATTTGGGGTCAGAAAACCCCCCAGCAGATCACACATACATGAGTTCTCGTTTTTCAGAGGATCCAGGCTTTGTACACACTTAAAGGCACAATTCTAATGCAAAATCATTAATGTAAACTGGTTTGTGTCAATCACTTCTCATAACTACAGACAACGTTTGGTAAATACAAGTTTGTTCAGGTAACAGAACATAACCCAAACTCTGTCAGTTAATTCATTATTCCAAATCATTAGGCAGAGTATGTGTTTAACCTTCATCTCCTTTCTTCAACAATTAATAGAGTGTTGAATAACACAGTAGAACCTTTTCATTCTTTGACACTTTGGCCAGTAATTAATACACATCTAAATGGACAACAAGAAGAACAGCATGACTGTGTTAGGTAGCATTTAAGTAAATTAAGATTGTACATGTAATGAATGTCTGCAATTACACAAAAAGGTCTGGGTCATTACATGATACAATAATCAGTTATGAATTTAAACCTCCTGCCTTGGCATGCAGCTTCCCAGACTATACTTCCCATTGCCAGGAGCAGAGTTTAGGTGTTTAGATGAAGACAGATAGGCAGGAACCTTGTATTTCCAAAAAAACATGAAGTTTAGCATTTTCAGACTAGCTTTTGCTGTCCTTGAATTGCATCCAGACAAAAAGTATGTTCTACAGAAAGGCAAGTTTAAACTCGTGCTTCCTATCATTTTTCACACTGGAAAAAAAAAAAAATTAATTCTCATTTTGACCACGAGAATCCAGCTCCAAGGTAAAGCAGTGCCACACTTGTTAGCTGAAATTTTTCTTAACACTGGGCTCTTACCAAGTTCTACATCCTGATCATCAGTAAGAACAAGGATGATGTTTGGGCGGATGTTTCTACGGTCTCTTTGAAATCTTCCCTTCAGACGCTGATTTAACAGGAAAGCTGAACTTCCATCCAACAGTGATAAAACAGTCATCATGAATAATCCAAGGGCAACACTATGCTGGGCCATGTTGTGCTGAGTTAATGTTCTCTCTGAACAAGGTAGGTTAATGGCTTCTATTTCTTTTTTGTTTGCAGGTCTCCTATAAGGGAGAGGGAAACAAGTATTTATCTATACTTTGACCCCTCTGCTCCCTCCAAAGGAACAGCAAGGTTCTCTCCAAAGAAGTAAAAAGCAGTATATTTGAAATAATCTAACTCCTAATGGAAAACAAAACAAACAAAAAAATCCAAACAAACAAACCCACAAACAACAACAAAGCAAATAAATGTTTTCTAGTGCCAGCTAGAAGCAGAAACTTGACAAAAATCAGTTCATAAGCTGTTACCAGTGCAGGAAACCAAGTTCTCTCTAAGCTCAGATCTGGCAGCAAGTTTTCACAGGGTACCAAATTCTTTTGCTTTGATATATATAAAGAGCTACCTTCTTCCTTAAAGGAAGGTTTCAAATGACATTTTTGTTTACTCCATCAAACATAAAGATGTTGAAGAGAAAAAAAAAAACCTGTATCTATCAATATTTTTAAACAGGACTGTAGTAAAATTTACTGAGTTAACAACACACTGGCAAAATCAGAGAACCCTCAGATGCAAGACTCGTTATACACTGATTTATCTCACACATTTCATTAGAGAGCAGAGCTGCCCAGATCTTGGAACTATGGTGTGATGCTGTTTGAAGTCTACTACAGCTTTGATGTTGCTGCAATATCCCTTCAGCATTTCTGTTGGTTTCCAAGACTATATATATATATTTTTTTAATACCATTATTATTAATGAACACATTTGAAGGCCCGTTACTGTTTGGGAATGGATGCACCCAAGTGATTTGCATTGCCTATGACTTCTCTTCATGATAAATACAATGCCCCAAAATTGACTTGATTGCAAAACAGAGCACATTTAACTGGTACTGCTCCTGTTAACAAGTCAATAAAAAATTCTTAGCAATTCCTACAAGAAGATTACAAGAAATGAATAAGCAAGCTGGAGAATTTTCAAAATCACAGTTTTGTTTAGTGATCTCCTGGTATAAAGGGATTTTCTCTTGCTTTCAGAAGTCAAAATAACAGTATGAAAATATACTGAAAATATCAAGTACTAATTATTTCATCACATCCAGCAGTCAAGGATTCAGCTTTTGATGAATTCTCCACTTGCTCCTTGGTTTTTCCTGGACTGGTACCAATGATCTCTTGTAAGAGAAGTGAAAAATCAATTAAAATTGACACAAGAAAGATAATTTGCTTTTTGTAAAGACCAGAAATGCCTGAGTACAAAGAATCTAGCACAATGTGTTTTACCCAAAGAAAAATGTTGGCTCTTCTGTCCCTAGAGCCACTTGGGAAAACAGTTTTTACTCCAGAAGATTATTTCATAGCCACATTACTATTACTTCATCTCCATCAGCGACTGTTCTTGGAGATAAACTTTGATTAAGAAAGTTCTCATGCAACAGCAAAACCACTGGTCTGAAAAAGTTTCTATGTTTATATAAGAAATGCATATTCAATTTTTATATAAGTCAACAGATATGTAGCTACAGTGTGATGGAATATTTATTAAGGCTGCTTTCCAAAACTGTACACTAGTGGGTTTTTGAGGAAATGAAGAATCCTCCTTCCTTACTAGTCTGTCCAGTGAGTTTCACAGGCAGGTGAAATTAACTTTTTTTCATAGAAACTAAAAATTGACTTTGAATATCCCAGCTCTTGTTCCAATGGGTAGGGAAAGAACTTTCCAAGTTTACCGCCACAGTTTTAGTATTTCTGCTGCCCAGAGATTTGCCAGGCTATTGCAGAAGAATCACTGACAAGTCCAATCAACTTTCACTCCTTGCACTCAGAATTCCATCTGCAGCAGCACAACCAGGAAGAGTCATGTCAATGTGCTGCTACTGTCCAGAGTAGTCAAAAGCAGCCTGAGAGACAAACCTGGATCTGGTTCAAAAGGGGAGGGTAGAAAGCAAGCTTGTTTAGCAGGCACATATTCCTGGACACCTTTTTGGGGGAGGAGGTCGAGAAATGGCTTCTGCTCTTCAGAAATTACCACAGATACACTTTTGTTAAAAAAAAAATAAAAATAAACTGACAATATAGATGTTTTCATTACACACATTTTTCTGCAGGTCTGAAAGTTAATGTGGGGTTTTATCTGTCTATACTAGCCAATAGCTTCTCAAAATAATAGCATTTGCTGACTTTTCTTGCAGCATTTGGAAAGCTGCCCATTTTTGTTATACCTACTCACAACCACCTTCACTGCAGCGTTGTGAATTTAATCTTCTTGCATTTTTCTCACTTCTTATGACCAAACAAACGAAATAACCTCATGACCTCATTGTCTCTTCCCCCTCAGCCTATCCTCTCCTTACAGTTTATTGCCCCTCACTCACTCCACTGTAACTAAAAATAGAAGCTGTCCCATCTCAGAGAGCTGCTTAGCTATCTACAAAATACTTAACACGTTTGGGGATGGACATAAACTGCTATTCCACAGCTATCTGATCCACACTTGTATATTTCTGGTTAATTAGATATCTCTGAAAGGTTACTGCAGGTGGAAGAGAGAATTTCATGCCAAGTACAACAGGCATCTTCCCCCAAACCTGTTATCTTTTTCTTGCCCACTCCCCCCCCCAACCCTGGTGAATATTTTTCAGCTAATCTGATGTGTTATGTTCCTATTATTATCAGGGTAAGTACTGCTGGGAACCAATTCAAAGTATGTAATTATGTGCAAAACTCATACCAATAAGTAGGTAAGAAAATTAAAGCAATTTTGGAAAATAACCTATTTCTTAAAGTATGTTTTCATAAAAGACAGACATGCCACAACTAACAGCGTATATGCAGTAAAATCTAAAAGCCAGCTTTTAGATAGCTCTCAGAATAGCAACACAAGAGTCTCTCTCATGGATTGCCAGTGGTCAAATACAGATTGATTTTTTTAACCCCCGGTCTTTGGTGAACTTCAGGGAAGAAATATGACAAAGTTTCTATTAACAGTTCTTTTCCCATTTCTGTCAACAAGTTTAATCTGCAACTCGCAGATAAAGCCAGAAGAGCTCCACAGCAGTGCCCCAATCTGCCTTCACTTTTAATATAGCACCTCTCCAACGATGCATTTTGATCTGAGTGGTACAGATGGTCCACTGCTTTCTGTGCCTCTGCAGGCCATCCTCCAATATTCAAGATGCTTAATCTGTAGTGCCTCTCATGAGAATTAGCTCTGCCTCTTATTTTCTCCCAAGATTACACACGTGAAGTTGATGAGTCTGGTCACTCCTGGTTTATATTTAGGAAAGTGCTATCAGAAATTTATGAAATGTTCTTTAGCTGTGGCATCTAGCTGAGCTTTATTAAGCCTATGAAACCTCCTAGCAGACTGCTTTAGAGAAAGTCTGGTCCTCTTATCAATTCTGTGTGGCAACACAGAGAGTTACACTAAGTCACACTACAAATGTTGAAGAGATAAAGTCAGACTTCAGTACATTTACTCTATTTATAAAAGAACTTAGCTGAGGGCTGTTCCCAAGTAACATTTACACCAAGGAAAGACTTATTTATAACACTGCCCTCAGTAATTACTGTCAGTTCTGCAGCAGCACAGGCAGAATGCACAGGGATGACTGATGTCAGTTCTACCCCAGATGGTATTTTTAACATGCTATTGATTAGTATTGCTGGGCACAGATGTAACAGGCACTGTGTGTGTAAAATCAGCAACTGACAGTGGCTTGCACAGATTGGTGCTCCCAACCTCACTAATGCAAGTCCCAGCACAACTGTCCCATGCACAAGCCCACTGCAAGTGCACTGAAATCAGGTAACTCAGTTATTACAACATAACCCACAGCAGCATCTGACTCTTCCTATAAACAACAAAGGTACAAACACGATATCTAATTAATTCTGTAACTTAATCCTGCTCCGAGTCTACTTCTAGAAAGCTGCTTCTAGGTATGTTTACATTAACTGGATTGGTTGTTTTTTTTTAAATAAGCATGCTGCAAACCATTACACACACAATTGGTATGACAAGTTCAACTGGCCCAGCAGCCAGCACAGAGCAGGGTAGGTGCCTGTGAGCCACGCACTGGAGTGCACAGCAGGGGCCAAGTGGCCACGAGAAGCAGCACAGAGCCACTCTCAGTGCGGCTGCAGCCAACGCCAGGTGTATTATTCAAGCAGACCTAGGTGTGTCATTTGTCCAAGGTCTAAATTCACTGGAATACGTGGTGCTGGAGCCATTCCCTAGCAACCAACCCAATTAAAACCACTCTGCCAGTTAAATGGATTCAGCTGTGCTGCTGTTCTTTTAACTCCTCAGTCACTCCCGTGCATCCAGCTTTGGTTATGATGCTCCTTCCCTTTGCACTGAAGTTGTCAGTCACCGTTTCAAACCATCACATTGTGTTTGTAAGAGATAAAACACATTTTTATATTTGGATTGGGGAGAATCCTGTTTGCAATCAAACAAGGTTCTCAGGGGAAGGCTGGTATCAACACTACTGCTGTAATCTAACAACGTGCTGTGCTTGCTTATAGTTTTCTACCTTCTGATTCTTTTTTTGCCCCAGGTAGTCAAAAATTTAAGAGAAAGCACAAAAATCGAATTCCCACTTCTAAATGTGACTCTTGAAAACTACAGTTGTGCCGATTTACCTACACAAACTATGGGTAAGGCATTTTTATTGACAAGTATCTACAATTTTTTTTAGAAGTCAGGAACAGAGCTTCCAGACTTACTGGGGCACTGAATTACTATGCAGACACATTCTTCTGTCTCGCTTGCCTTATGTTGGTGAACTCTATACCAAAACCAAATATTTATCACGGAGAAGCTTACTCACATTACAAAATCTCATTCCTACTTTGTAACTTTATTTTAAATGAAACAGAATTATGAATTAGTTACAATTTTCCATAGGACTTGATATTTTAGAAGGTGTTTTTAAGCAGCTCAATATACTCTCCATGAACCCATACTATTCTTTCTGTTCACTGGTTGCATGTTACTATTAGTGCTTCCCAGTGACACACAGAGAATTAATTAGTCCTCTGACAGGTTAAATTGCTA